CAATAACAACAACGACAAAGAGAGAGCCACGTTGGCCTAGTGGAAAGGAAGCTATGCAACTGAGCAGAAGGTGGGTGATTTTCATCTGCGGCCCTCGGCCAGGTTCAAATTGTCTTCCTGTCAAACATTCTTCTAGGTGGTATAGCACTGATCTGTGTGTTGCTGTACAGAGGTACCTCGTGGTTGCTGTGATGCTGAAGCCTGTGACAGTGATGTGCTTATCGTTGTAATGGGGACCCATGGTGGACAGTGTTGGCTGGAGCTTCATGACTAAATCAAGCCTGGAAGCAGGAGCGGCATCCACTTCCAAACTGGCTTGCCTCCAGAAACTCTATGTACGAACAGTGCTCAGGCTGTTCGTGCATAGGGTTGCTATAAGTTGTCTACGACTCGACAGCAACAAACAACAACAACAGAAAATCCTAGAGTAGGTCAGCTTTTGTTAGAGTCCCTGGTTGAAAGGATAGACTAGGAGGCAGGATTAAAGAACAGGAAAAGACAGTTTTATTAGAAAAGATGACAAGACAAATCATTTCTTTAGAGTAAAGGGGTAGGAAAAGACACTTTGTCTGGTTGATTCCATAGTTTGATGGGTTTCTGGGATTCAGTCTAATGGGATGATGAAGTAGGTTGTTCTTGAAGTCACTCATGTGTCTTAAAACAAATTAAGTTGTCTTAGACATAGCCTCTCCTGTTCATGTCAGGATCATCGGAAATTTTCCAATTTCTCTGATTCTGATTGTGTACTTCCCAGTACTAGCCACTTTGTTTGACTCTCCCCTCATTGGAGCCCAGCTTAAGTTTTATCTGTTTATATCCCTCTGATATCTACACTAACACTCCATATGTCCAAGTTCTCCTTATTTTTGCCTGACTTTAGCCTGAGGAGTTCCCTAATACTCTTAGACTATATATTGTGCATACTGTAGGCTGGCAGTAGGAAATGAAAGCTCTTCCTTCATTTTGACATAATTATAACCAGCAAAATCACCCATTTGGGATAAATTCGCTCATGTCACTCAAGGAAATATCCTGGGCATCTTTCTAGCTATCACTTTGCTTAGCGCACTCTGCATGTCCCTGTTTCTCAGGCTGTAGATGAGAGGATTCAAAGCTGGTGGTAGCACAGTGTAAAGCACAGATATCAACAGTTTCAGTGAAGATGAAGACTCCAGATTTTTTGCTAAATATGTAATAAACCCAGAAAAGAGAAACAATGTCACCACAGTAATATGGGGCATGCAGGTAGAGAATGTTTTCACTCTGCCCTTTGCAGAAGGAATTCTGAAAACAGCAGAGAAAATGTGAACATAAGAAACAACCACGAAGGTGAAAAATACAAAAGCAAAACAACAGCTAACAATAATAAATGAATACTCTAAAATAAATTCTCCGGGACAAGCGAGCATAAGCAGTGACGGAACATCACAGAAAAATTGATGCACTACATTTGACCCACAGAAATTGACAGAGAATGTACCTGCTACATGAATGAACCCGTAGACACACCCACTGAGCCAAGATGCAGTCACCATTTGCAAGCACGCACCTCTGCTCATGATGGTCTCATAATGCAGAGGGTGGCAGATGGCAGCATAGCGGTCATAGGACATTACTATAAGAAGGGCAAACTCTGTTCCAGCGAAAAAAATAACAAGAAAAACCTGTGAGGCACATCCAAGGAAGGAGATGGAATGGTTGTTTGTTAGAGAGTCCATGATGGACTTTGGGACAGTGACAGAAATATAGCAAATATCAATAAATGATAAATTCTTCAGGAAGAAATACATTGGAGTTTGGAGATTCTCATCTATGGTAGTGAGGGTGACTATGAGGAGGTTCCCCATCAGTGCTGCCAGGTACACGAGGAAGAAAAAGGCTGCATGGAGACTCTGCATCATCCAGCCGTCAGGGAAACCCAGAAGCAAGAATTCACTCAAGATGGTTATGTTGGTGAATTTCTCAGACATTCTGATTCTTTACAGAGAAAGTAAAAAGAAAAAGAATAAAGTTCAACTTTCTCACTCATTTATGCATATTGTTTTGCCATGACTTTTTATATAGATGCCTATATTTCCTTGTGTTATAAACTGTTAATATAGTGTGTTAATGTAATGTACAATTAATTTGCCTTCAAGATACATCGAATGAAATAAATAAACAAGAGTATTAATAATCATTTCTTGAGTTAACATGATAAAGAAGAACATTGCAACTCTTTATGCCTTGGGGTGGCAATGGAAGACCTTCTACATTTATACGAAAGAAAATTTTAAAAGAAATAATGGGCAAATATGTTTTCCTTGTTTTCATATGTCCTCCCTACAAAATCTTATAAATATGTGTATGATATCATAAAATACAGTTTCATTACCTATAATTATGTAAATGCCCTAGATGTTTTATAACTGTGTAAAAGGTCGTAGGTTAGTTGCAAGATATCTCCATAAAATTAGCATTGTTTAGTATAGTAGAATTATCTTTAAATCTATCATGATTCTAAACATTGTAGAGGTATATCAGTTTATGTATTTATGCATCTATATAGACCTATTCGTGTATTTAAAAATTATCTAGGAAAACTTCCAAGGTAGCTATCTAATCTCACTTTTGACCTCTTCTAAAAGATGGATCATTCTTTTCCTTTCTATGTGAAAGAGAACAATTGACTTAGTCTTCCAATTACTGTAAGGACATATCAAAAAGGCAGGAAAAGAACATTGTCAAAGATTATGACTAGGGCAAAAACAAATATATATTCAAATGTATAAGTTTGTCAGATTACGTTATGCTCAGATGTTCTGAACTAAATTACGTTTGGTTTATTACTGTAAGAGTGAAGGGGTTACTAATTTTCTTCTATCTAAATTCCATTAATACTTGTGTGGGTTAACAGTAACAAGCAATCACATATCATAAGGTCATAAAATAATGGAAGGAGGAAAATTAACTAACCTTGTAGAAGTCTGAAATTTTTTCTCAATTCCATAATACACACTAAGGCATTTCCTAAGTACCGAAGAGCAAGAAGCAGAAATTGCAATAATAAATATCTATTTTTCATATCTTCAAGCAACCCTGCTGGAAAAATGTTATCTGGATCAGAAAACTATATAGTATGGCTGTGCTATCTGAATGCCAATACTACAAAATAATCAGTTTTATCTCTTCCTTCATGGTTAGATTCAAATGGTCATGAGATATCTGTATTTCATGCATTTATAAGAACCTAATTAACTTTAGGTATAGCTGGCCGACAGTTCTAATGAGATTTTTTGTTTCCTATGAGACCTCAAACATTTGGGATCTACAGCACTCAAGAGACCTTAATCTAAATCCAATCATAGAGGTTATCCTTTGGTATGTATGTGACTCAATCATACACATATGAACCAAATTAATTTGATATTATTTGCTTAGGAAATTGATTTGGAGATAATTACAGCCTTTTGACAGGCAGTTATTATAAACCCAAATCTAAGTATTTACATGAAATAATTTCATGATTTTATAACTCACAGAGGAGCTCAACTACTACTGTTCTTTCTATTCTTCTTGATAATATTTACTTTTGAGAATAAACTTCATAACCCAATTTTCTCTACAGAAATGATTTAAGAGTTCCACAAAATGACTAGTAAATTAGTAATCTTAAATTCAATAAGGTCAATAGTGAAATTAAATGTAAATTCTACAAAACAACAAATAAAGTACAGGGATGCATCCATAACTTTTCAATCCATATGTGGAACAGATAGTTGGGGAGGCTGGACTATATGAGAGTGAATGTGGCACCAGCATTAGAGGAAGACTAATCAACAACCTACATTATGCACTGATACAACTTTGCTTCGTGAAACTGAGGAGCACCTGAGGGGTTTGTTGAAGGTCAAGGACTGCATCTTTCAATACAGATTGAAGCTCAACATCAAGAAAACAAAAATTCTCACCACGGGGCCAATTGGCAGCAT